TAATCTAAAAGTAAATATAGAAAAGTGTAAAGGTGAAATCATATACCTTAGGTTCTTCTTGATTAGTTTATTGTTAGATGTTGTGCTATTTTTTATTTTATCTTAATTACTTTCATATTTGAATCTTTATTTTATTTAATTTCATATAATTTAAGTTCAAACAATTAAACTAAGAAATTTTTAACAATTAGAAACAATCCTTATAAGACAATATTTCAGAAACCTTATTTTAGAACCATTTTATTACTTTTCAACGAATACACTTACCCACAATTAAGTCTTTGATGCCGTTGTGGTGAAGTGCAAGGCCGAGGAAGGGGTTGAGGCAGACGTAATTTTGATAAATTTATTGTTGAATGTTATCATTGTCATAAACTTGGACACTTTTAGTATGAATGTCTAATGAAAGAATCAAATTCATCAAATTATGTTGCAAGTAAAAAAGAAATGCCATTGATGACATATATGAACGATGAAGGAGTTTACAAAGAAGATTTGTGATTTTTAGACTCTAGTTACAACAATTATATGAGTGAAATTTTTTTTTTTTTTTTTTTTGTTGATCTTGATGAAAGTTTCATAACATAAGTCGCACTAGGAGATTATTCAAACAAGAATGTGATGGAAAAAGGCAGTGTTCAGATGTTAGTAAATGGTATTACACTCATTTTTACTAATGTATTTTATGTTCCAAGATTAAGAAACAATTTATTAAGCATTGGCTAACTAATTAATAAAGGGCTTAAAATTCTTATACAACAAAGAGTATGCAAAATTTATCATTTGGAAAAGAGTTAATTTTGAAAATTGCAATGTCCTCAAATTTAATGTTAAAGTTATTTGTCGTAACACAAGAAAGAAAGGAAACTTATTTTAAAATTTTAATGAAAGATCCTTCTCAACTGTAGTATTGTAGATATGGCCATTTAAGTTACAATAATTTGAGAACACTCCATAAAAAAGAAATGGTGCAAAGATTTCTTTATTTTGACATGTCATAAAAAAATATGCAAAGATTGGATTGTGGGAAAGCAAAAAAAAAATTTATTTCTAATTGTAACTACATGGAGAGCTTCTTAGATTCTTGAACTAATGCATGCTAATATTTGTCGACCAATCAATCCTATTTCTAATAGCAACAAAAGGTACATGATCAGCTTTATTGATAACTTTAGTTGAAAGATATGATCTATTTTTTGTTTAAAAAATTAGAAGCTTTTGTTACTTTAATATATATATATATATATATATATATATATATATATATATATATATATATATATATATATATATATATATAGACACACACACTTAACCTTAAAGAATCTTCGTATAGATTATAGTAGTGAGTTCACATCACATGATTTCATTAATTTTTGCAATGAAAATGGTATCTGAAGGCAATTAATATCTCATTACAGCTCTCAACAAAATGGTGTAGCCAAAAAAAAATAAATAATTGAATGATCATGAATATGGTTTGAAACATGCTTTTAAGAAAAAAAAATGCTAAAAATATTATGGTATAAAGTTGTTAATTGGACAGTTCACATTCTCAGTATGTCCAATACTTGCAATGATAAACAAATTGTCGGAAGAAGCTTGGAGCAAACTCAAATCATTTGTGGCTTACAAGTGTTTCAATGCTTATTTCATGCTTATATTCTTGATTGTAAAAGAACAAAGGTTGATGACAAAGACATATAGGCTTTTTGGTTTTTTTTTTCAAAAGATTATAATAAGTAGAAATGTGGTGTTTGAAGAATATAGCAGTTGGGATTAACGTAAAACCCATGAAAAGCTATATTTGGTTGACTTGAATTAGGACTTTAATGATAAAAAAATAAATAATAATACAACAACTAATACAAATTAAAATGTAGAGGCAACAACTTATACAATTGAAGATGGAGCAAAAACTAATGAAGACAATAATTAAGAACCAACAACAAGTGACTCAAATAATGAGAGTTTATCTAGTTTGAGAAAAGAACCACATGATCAAAGGATGAGGAGACAACCAATATATATGAGAGATTATATTAAGTAGGAAATGATTAGTAGAGAAAGAAGATACGACAAATTTTGTCGTGTTTACAACATATGATCCAACTTGTTTTACAGAGGCACAAAGGGATGAAAAATAAAGAACAACAATAGATGTAGAGATTGAAGCTATAGAAAAAAATGACACCTTAAAATTGATAGAACTACTATAGGAGCAAAGAAAGTTGTTGTAAAATGGGTGTACAAAACAAAATTCAATGAAAATGGTGATAGAGAAGTACAAAGTGCGTCTAGTTGCAAAGGTTTACACCAAAAAATATGGTGTGGACTATATTGAAATTTTTGTACTTGTTGCATGCATGAAAACAATTTGGGTGGTGGTGATATCTCGTGCAACTAAAAAAGGATGGAAAATCTTCCAATTAGATGTTAAATCAGTTTTCCTTCATGGAGAACCTAGTGAAAAGGTTTTCATTGAGCCACTGCCTGGTTATGAATGAAAAGGTGCTAAGCAAAAAGTCTATAAGTAAAAAAAGGCTTTATATATAGGCACCACGAACCTAGTATAGTCGAATAGAGTTTTATTTTTGTCAAAGTAGGATATAGATGTAAAATTTTAATTGTCTTTTTGTTGACGATCTCATTTTTATGGGCAATGATGAACATATATTTGTAGAATTAAAATTTTTTTATCGTGCATGAGTTCAATATGACTAATCTTGGACATATAAGATTTTCTTGGCATAGAAGTTCTACAAAGTCTAAAAGAAATTTTTATTTGTCAAAAGAAATATGTCAAGAGGTGCTAGAAAGGTTTGATATGCATAATTGCAATTTGATTTATAATCCAATTGTTCTAGGTTGTAAACTCATAAAGGATGAGAATGGAATTAAAGTAAACAACACTCCATGTAATTGATTGTCAACTTTATGCATCTAACTCCTACTTGTTTTGATATTATGTTTGTTATAAACCTTTTAAGTAGATATATGGTGCATCCTACATAGAAGTTGCTAAAAAAAGTATTGAGCTATATTAAAAGGGACTTCCAACTTTGGGATATTCTAAAAAGGAGAATAGATGAATAATCAATTACCTATATAAGTAGTTGGAGATTTAAATGATAGAAAAACTACTATAGTTACATTTTTCTACTAAACTCAAGTGTTATTTCTTAGTCCTCAAAGAAATAACTATAGTCACTTTGTTAACTATTGAAACTCAATAAAACATGTCTTGTAAACATATCTCTACAAGCTATATGCAAAAATGAAATAAGTGATCAATTGAATCATATTTTTCCTCCTTTATATTACTTAAATTTTTTTATTATATGAATTTATAATAAATATGTTTAATCTTATAATTATTTATTATTGAAAGTAATTTCTAAGAATTTAAAAAAGAATATATACATTCTATTTTATTTCCATAAATAGTGTATATAAAATTATTACTTTTTATGTGAATTTAACACACAATAAATAATAAATTTTTTATAAATAATTTTTTTTTTCTTTTAAACTATTCTTCAGAACATATAATTATAGTACAACTAAATAAATTTATTTGAACAAAAACAATTACTTAAATGCGCTTTTAGATGTAAATCAATTATATATTGATAAATGATAACCATTTCAATGAAAGTACTGGTGATTAAAAAAATAAAAGAAATTATGAATATCTTTTTACCATAACTTTTTAATGTATTTTTAACATTATTTTTAATTAATTTATAACTAATATTTTATGTAAGATCTCATTGTATATTTTAGATTTTTATTATTTAATGACTTATTTATTTATTAAAAAATAAATAGTTAAAATAATATTTTTGAAAACAATTTTCTTGTTTAAGATTTTTTAGCTACATTTGTATAAGTTGTACACGTTTTAAATTTTTTTTAAAGAGTTTTATAAACTAGAAACATCAAACTTATTTTTGTTAAGGAGTTTTATATATTAAAAGGACAATTTTTTTTTAAAAAAAGATTTCATATATTAAAAAGATAACATTTAAAAATTATGACACATGTTAAGATTACTATTAAAGAAAATGAAAAATAAAAAATAAAGAATAAAAAATTAAAAGTTAGAAGATTCAAGTTCCTTCCACGACACCATATGCATAAAATAGTATGTAGAAAGCTATTGTACCTTAATTAGTTGAGATTTTAGCATGTGTTATAATTTTAAGTTTGTCTTTTTCATATATAAAAAAGAGATAAAATTATTAAAATATGAGATTTTTTTAAAAATCACCAGTGATGTTCTTTTAGTACTTTTTATTATAGCTATTTTTTATTTTATTTTTTTTTAAATTTAAAAAATTACCATGGGAGAGTTTTGAATTTTTATGATTTGTTAATAAATTTTATAAAAAAAATAATCACAAACAATTTTAATTTTTTTTTAAATTTTGTTATTCTGTCACTACCTACACTAAAAATTGCTACTAATAATTTTTGGATCCCATATTTTCATAATTTTTTAAAAATTTATATTTTAATATATATAATTTATAAATCTCATATATATATATATATATATAAATAAATAATTCCTCGAGTTTTGTCTTTAGTATACAAATTTTTTTAAAAAATTATCATTTTAATGTGTAAATTTTTTCCAAATGCGAACCTCTTTAAAAATAATAAGATGTAAAATTTACAGTAACGTGAAAAAAAAATCTTAAACAAGAAATTTATTTTAAAATAATAATATTTTAATGATTAATTTTTTTAAAAATATTAAAATAGCCACTTATACACTAAGCACATAAGTTAATGAGCAAAAAAATAAATTTATTTTACAATTCTATAAATGATATTTATCTTATTATAAAAAGAAACCGAGTAATCCTAGAAACGCTGGTTTTAAATGTCACGTGACGTTTGACGATTGGGAGGCAAACGACGTGTCGCTTCATATGTTGAGCAAAATTGGAACACATGGTTTTGCAAAATTTTAAAGAAATCCATCAATCTGGGAGAGGGAGGGCTTGTGTTGTGTTAAGAAAGAACAGTAGAAAAGGAGAAGAGTGATTGAGATCAAAATTCAATGGCATCGAATTCGAATCAGCAAGAAGGGAACAAACCGGCGAAGAGGAAACCTGTGTTCACAAAAGTGGATCAACTGAAACCTGGTACCAACGGTCACACTTTGGTCGCTAAGGTTTTATCTTCCAACACTGTCTTACACAAAGGAAGACCCTCTTCATCCAACAACCTTCGTCCCACTCTCATCGCCGAGTGCCTCATCGGTGATGACACAGCCACCATCATCTTCACCGCTCGCAATGAACAAGGTTCAATTTCACCTACCCACTTTTGCAAAATCATTTCTTTTTATGTTTTTTTACTTTCCCATTTTTAAAAACCAATACTTTTCACGCGGGCACTGTTCTATTTGTCTCAATTTTGAGTTTTTCATTTGGGGTTTTCTTTTTACGATCTGCATTGTTCTGGCTTTTGTAAGATTGCGGTTGTTTGTTCGTTCTGTACCTTTAGCACTGTTTCATTTTCATTGATGCATTTGGGAATGGGAAGGTGTTTCGTCTTCAATAATGCATGATGGTGAGTTATTCTAGTGTTTCTTACTCGATGTATAAGCCTTCATTCCCAAATTTTTTTGGTTGGATTACGTGATGCCTTAATCGTACTTATTTTGATTCATCCTCAATGTATAAGCTTCTTCTGCTTTAATGATATTAATCCAGGAGATTTGATTCCGTCAGTACAAGGTGTTAACCAGCATAGAATCGCTTTATTGCGATGATGAAAGTGTGATTATGGTAATTGGAGAGTGGTAACATGGTTCCATTTCATGTGTTTTGTGATAGAAAGAAAGGTGTCTTATTTTGTATTCCAAATCTAAACTACTTTTAACAAAGATTTTAGTACATACTCGTTTTTGTAATTATTTAAATATTGTTACTTGGGTTTAACTTTTTGTTATGATCTCTCTAGTTATTTTAAGATTTGTAATATTCATGGGATTGAATAACCAGGAATGCCCCTTTCATCAGCCTTTTATTACGGGATTAATTTTTGTTTCTTTGTGAAACATGTGGACTTAGGCTTATATTTTACTCTCTATCTACACTAATGAGCATCACCTTAATGTTGGTTTTGTACTTTTCAAGATCCACATTCTTGAATATCTTCTCATTCTTGTTAGTTATCAGCGTTTACAAACAAGTCTTTTTAATTTTTGTAGTATAGGATCTTGGGAGTTAGAAAATGGTGACAGCTCCTTTAGACGTCAGGAAAAATGAGAGAATGGGAGCAGGATTGTGAAAATAGGATGCACATAGACAGGATATTTATGTACTGCTTGTTTTTACTCCCTTTTCTCATTCTTTCATACTTCAATGAGCAAAACCTAATAATAGGTCATATGAGATATGTACAAGCATTTGTCCCTTGGGAAATGCATTGTTGTCAGGTTTTTATGGAGTAAAGTTTTCGTTGATTTTTTCTAATTAAAATTACTTTGGATCTATTTCCATTGATAGGTAAAACGGGTATTGATATATGTACAGGCAGAAGATATATATTATGCTTTATTTATGTGATGATATGTCCTTTTTTATTTCTGTACAGTTGACTTAATGAAGGCTGGAACTACAGTTGTTCTTCGAAATGCAAAGATTGACATGTTTAAGGGATCAATGAGGCTGGCAGTTGACAAATGGGGGCGCATTGAGGTTACTGAACCTGCCAAGTTTGTAGTTAAAGAGGATAACAACCTATCTTTGGTTGAATATGAATTGGTGAACGTGGTTGAAGAATAGTTGCGTAGGAGAGTGCAAAGATAGCTTTATGATTTGTTTATGGTGCAATGGATACTCTCAAGGTAAAACTTAACTAGTGATGAATCGGTTGGTATACATTCTCACTTTATTAGCCCGTATTTCCCCTTAGACATATTTGACATCATTAGGATTAAGTTGGTGCCACTTGAACAATGTTGTGTCAAAGCGATCAAGATTTGCTATTATCTTATCTTTATCAGCAATTGTATCCATTGAACTTAAGAAAAGTAATGTTAATATTATTTCCCTGCATTTTCTTGTGCATTGACTTGCAATTTATTTTTGTTTTGATTTACATGCAATGTTATTATAACTCCTAGCCATACATGAATGCATATGAACGAATTATAGACACATGAATGAATTGTTTTTACGTGAATGTAGTGATTTGAACCTTATATTTGTCTTCGGCTCGATTAAGAAAAAAAGTCCTAAAAATTTTTGGGTTTAAATCATTAAATAGTTCATAAATTCGATATTGCAAATGAAACTCCAAAATCTTTCACACTTACAAATTTAATATTTCGTTGCCTGCTCCACAATTGAAGTAATTTCGACATCATGGGTGGGGCTGAATGACTGATGATAATAAAGTTATTTCTACATTAGTGTCTTGAGTTTGACTCGTTAAGCAGCAGTTAAGGATAAACTTCTCAAGTACATGAGCAAGAAAGAAAATTAAGTTCTTATGAATTCGTTAGACAAGATTAGAAGTCGGTTTGTATTGGTTTAAAGCCCTACCAGCTACCTGAAAAAATGAACTTTTATTTCATCCAAGAAAAAGGTTGCATACTCTTTTCAACGTATTTTTAATTATTATTGATTAAATTTTATTAAAAATAATAATTTAAAAATAAAAAAATAGTAAAATTTACATTATTTTATAGTTTTAATAGATTTTAATTATACATTTAATTTATCATAGAAGCAGAAAAAATAAATTTTATCGTGTACTCTAAAATAAAAGTATTTTATGCTATGATACGTAACGAGGTTAATGGTTTATTTAAAAAAAGATTATTATTAATTTTTAAAATAATAAAGAAATTGCACCTTTCACTTACAGAATAATAGATTGGGATCCTCTCATTTTTTGGCACGAATATAACTCTTATGTGTCGTTATTTTTACATTTTTGCTTAAGCAAAAAATAATTTGCTTAAGCAAAAATGAAAAACACGGAATATGAACGCTAACTCACCTTACTGATTACGGTACATCAACCAGCGAGCCACAATATGAACTGGCAAGAGCTGCGGCTTCAAACTTGTCCGTTGCTTTTCCTGGTTTATATGTCACTTGTTCCTTTTTTTTTAAAATCAACTTTCTTTACATCAATTAGAAAATTTCAAAGCTTCTTTAATCTCCAAGTTGCGCCTGAAATACATAAATCTTATTATGTAGCATCCAAAATTCTTTTAAAATTGAATAATGTAATGCTGCAAAAGATTATCTAACATACGGACAACACACAAATAAAGGTGGGCAATATTTGGTAAAAATGATTAGACGCACCGACAAGCAATGTCTCGGTCATTGTTTTGACAAAAAATAAAAGTCGCAACGAGTTTTAACCTTAAACTAAAGGACACGCTTTTTAAATGAATAATTTTAAAATTTACCTTCAATTTTTGATAGATCCTTTTCATTTTTAATTGATAAAGAGTATTTCAAAGTTTTATATTTTTAAAGTAATAAATGCATACAGTTTCTTTATTTAATGCTTGCTTCATAAAGTACAAAAAAGATTATTACAAAGATATAACAAAGCTTTTTTTCTTTTAATATGAATAGCGAATGTTAAAACTTTGTTAACATATTAATATATTATGCGCTTGCCTATATTAAGGAGTCTGGCATTTACGCATCACGATCTTGCACCATTTGATATAAAGAATTTGGTAAAGGCATATAAAGGGACAACAGGTTGATCCAAAACATTGGTAAAGCAAGGTAAACATTTGAATGTCGCAGGTTGCCCAGAAAAAAGAGAGATACTGCAAATCATTTTTATGGTCTCGAATTTCATCGGTCTAAATATATTTAGGATAATCTGATGTGTTCCATTTCGTTCTCGCGCATATTAGCATAGTACTATTCCCTATAAAAATAATCCACTTTCTGACATAAGTTTCTGGAAGCCAATTGCAACGAAGGGTCCTCGTCTCCATCCAAATAATCGGTTGACTTCTTAATTGATTGTGCTAATCTGTAGTAGTTACTGAGATTGGTCTAAAGCACGCTTGTATAAACATTGACAATCAGGGTAACGAGTGGTACACTCGTGTAGTAAACCATTTCCAAGAACAGGGTGAAATAAATCATTGTAATTCGCAAGTATAGAATTGTTGCAAGGATGTTTGAAATAAAATAACAATCATACCTAAGCATGATACCAGCTCCGGATGCTTGTACAGTTTTAAGTCTTGCGAGTTTTCATATTCAACCAAGGAGAAAATTCTCTAAGCGGGACTAATAAAGTAAACTGAAATCCATAGAAAGTACGCGCAGATGCACCGCACCCACAAACAGCAATCATCCATCTAGAATTCAAAAAGAAAATAATTTAAGAAAATTCCAATCTATACACCACTGCCGCACAAAAATCGGATACAAAAGGCCAAGATAATTAATAATCATACTAATGTATAGTAGTAAATTATAAAATGCAAATCATTTAAATACAAAACATAAATCCACAGCAAATGGAAATTTCGAAACATTACATGGCTAGTCCCCAAGCCTAAAGCCAAAGAGCAAATGATCACGACCCTAAACAAGAAAACAGCCAAGTCAAAATAAAGTGTTGCAAAGAAAGTCGAAATCCAAAGCAGAATAAAAAGAAATATGCCATTTCAACGCATTGCCCATTTTACAAGCACATGCTCAATTTTAAAAATTCCAAATCATGTGCTTACAGACCAGCAGTCATCAGGGATTTCACGCAAGATTATTAATAGTATCTTAGTCAACAAGAACTACAATTCTGTGGTGACATTTAGCAAACAATTTGAATCTTAAGTTTGACAATGCAACATCATAATAATGGTTTTCTGAATGCAGAAAAGTAAAGTAGAAAATTTACACCATGAGACACATAGATCTGACGCTGCATTGAGGTTAGTTTAAAATTCTACGGATCCTTAATGGTTGTGATAGTTTGCATAAACATATTAAAAGGTGATTAATCGATGTTCTTAAGTTGTACGCATGAACACTCCCATTCTACACATACACCGAATAATAAATTCAGCAAATTCAAAGTAATAAACCAAAATGATACAGTATATATACAAAAAAAGTATTTAGAAATCAATATTAATATGTAATTATAAAAGTGGATTCTAATTGTTTGTTTGCTAATTCATTTCTGTACTCTCAGCAAATGCTTGTTCGGTGTTAGAGTGTACATGAATAATTTAAAATCCAAAAAAAAAATAAAAAATTACTTAACCACCTTTTTTAGAGTGCATCTACATAAAACCTTGCTCGAACCCTCTGTCATGCATCATACATCATCATTGCAATCTGAGTGAATACAATCAATCAGTATGATCTCATATGATTATCTCTAAGCGAAAGTTAATTTATATAGAGGTCTAGGCATTTTAAAAAATGGTATGCACTAAATGAGACAATCCATAATACCCCTTGAGAGAGAGAGAGGAGAATCGCTCGTTTACTCAAAGTGAAAGTTCTTTGTTGTGAAAAGTTGATGCAGAAAAATTAAAATAACTGGGGAACTACAAAGAAATACAATTAAATTGCACCATAGCCCCACAATAGTTTTTATGAGATATGGTGTTCAGTATCTCATTTTACATTCAATTTAGAACTCTCATCCTCTTACTAATCTACAGAAGACAAGTTCTCAATGCTTCAAAACCCAAAATTTGAAACAAATCCATGTGACACCATCTTTGATGCTTGATCTTCATCTAGTCTTCTCTTGCCCTACAAAGAGGAAAAAATATACATCCTTTCATTGTGAGAGCAAGAGAGAGAGCCTAACGAAAAAAAGGAAATGTTTGAACAGCAAAAATAGCTGGCCATATCACCCAACATTTTCACCCGAAATAGGTTATTCACACAAGCCTTCCCTACCCATCTAGAAAGGATAAAAGTTAAAAAGAAAAGAAGAAAAAGATTGTGCGGACAAGACAACATTATTTTTTATCTAGAAACATTGATGATCTGAAAAATTATGTATAATCCATTGCATTCGGCTAAGAAACCTTGTTTATTATTACAGAAGTCACGATGACATAAACAAAAAAACTTTCACCCTTTAGATTCTAGAAAGAAAATCTTCCTTCGAATAAGGTAAAGCTCACGATTAGAAAACTTGACCCCAGTAAAACGTTTAAAATGTTCCGGACTCATTAACAATCAAATCCTATATAATATAAGTTACAATAACATTTCATTTCAGAATCCAATGCTCGCATTCCATAAATTTAGCTCATGAAGAAAAAGCCGTGCACATAAACGCTCAATTACATAATCAAAGGAAACAAGCAAACCAAAAAAATGACATGAAATTAAACGGAGAAGAAAAGAGAAAAGAGGGGAATACCTTCAGGGGTCCAACCGTAGGAGTGGCGAGAAACAGAGAGCATTGAATTCAGCAATGCGGAAGCGGTGGCACTGTGATAAGGAAGCATCGATTCAACGCAGCAACTCGCTTCTACCGGCAACCTATACCCCAATTTTTTTAATCAAATTGAAAAAAAATTCGGGAAAATGTGATAGAGAAATGTTGAACGCCGTTACCTGAAAGCGCGATTTGAGATTGAGGTTTGCTTTGGGAGCCGAAACGGAGATCGAGTGGGTCTCGGCCTAGCTCCGGCAGCCAGATTCGCCGCACCGGCTGCTCTGGAGGCTGCGGAGCGCAGCAAACACCTGGCGGCGGACATCGTAAGGAAATACCACCCGTGTGACTGAGGGGTTTTGGATTTTGTTTGGGGGGTTTTGCTATTTCTTTTTTACAATTTTTTTTCGTTCATATTTTTCATCAGGAGTTGTGGGCTTCGAATCTCTTTTTATTGGACTTCATGGGCCTACATATTTCCCTTTCTTTCGACACTTCTTCTTTCACTCGTCAATGGCGAGACAAACTACTTAAAAATCTAGCAATCCCTTTTACAGGTTAAATACTTATTGATAAAAAATTTTAATTTCTATTCAAGATTTTTTTTTAAATTTAGTTCTTATAAATAAAATAATAATAATTTCTCCGGTGCCTTATAAATCAAGATGACATTCTATACTTTCTCATATGTATAACAATTATTATTGTTAATTTTAAAATAATATATAATAAAGTTAGTAGTTTATTTAAAAAAATTATAAATATTACTTAATCTCTAAAATATTATAAAAATTACAATCATTAATTTATAGAGAGTATTCTTTAAAGTTTACAAGTATTATAACAATCACGATAGAAAAATTTATATTAGTCTTTATATGAAAATTCATTTTAAATTGTCTCTTTTATTACGATATGTTGTATTAACATCAAATTTTTCTCCTAGATAATATTTTTTCATCATCTTCATAAAAGTATTCTAAATTTTTTAAATAAGTTTTATATTTTTTTCGTACCTTTTTAATTCACGATATTCAACTTTATCATATAAGTTAACTTTTTTTTTAGTTGAAAAACAACAATAAGAATAATACAAATGATTTGTTGAATTATTTACTTTGTGTTATTCTTTGATGACAGGGAATCATATACATACATGTAACAAATAAACAATCCTATTCTAAGGCTTGGATTACGTGATCCATGTCAGGGGAATCTGACTAAAACTATTTTAGGAAACTATATATATATATATAATATGAAAAATTTATACAAAATTAAAACCATATATTACACAATATTTTGTAATACTTCTCCTCAAGTTGGAGAGTGAAAGTCATCAACTCCCAACTTGTTGTGCAACGTTATAAACAGGTCATTTTTCAAAGCCTTTGTAAATTTATCTGCCAATTGAAAGTGAGTTTGGTACGTAAGATGGATTGATCATTCCAGCTTATACTTTCTCTTGAACAATGTGACAATCTATTTCAATATATTTCTTACGCTCATGAAAAATAGGATTTGCTGTAATGTATAAAGTTGTCTTATTGTCACAAAATAATTATGTAGGTGTTGTTTGCTACACTTTTAGATCTAGTAATATTTAACATAACCAAGTTAGCTCTAAACTAGTATTAGTCATAGCTCTGTGTTCGGCTTCTGTTGATGATTTACAGATACTGGCTTGTTTCTTGGATTTCCATAAGATGAGAGAATCTCCAAGAAAAATGCAATAACTTGTAACTGACCTTCTTATGCCACTACAATCTCCCCAATTTGAATAGTAAAAAGCTTTCAAGGTAAGATTATTGGTTGATGGAAACAATAAGCCTTGAGTAGGAGTACCTTTGATTTATCTTAGAATTCTCATAGTAGCATCCCAATGAAGTTTTCAAGGATCATGCATAAATTGACTCAATGTAAGAACATAAAAAACAATGTCAGGTTGTATCACACTAAAGTAAACTAGTCTACCAACAAGTCTTTTTATATTTAGTTGAATCATTCAACAAAGGCTCATCTACGGAAGTGAGTTTCAAGTTTTGTTTCATTGGAAACTTGTCTAGATGTGCACCAACGAGTCCTGAATCTTACCAATATATCTAAAGCATATTTTTTTTTTAGACATAAAACTACATATCTAGGATTGGGACGACTCAGTACCTAAAAATATTTCAAAATTTCAAGATCTATTATACAAAAGTACTTATGAAGAAATTCTTTAACAAACTTCATTTCTTGTTAAGAAGTATGTCATCCATATAAATAAGGATTGCAGTAAATGAAGTACCTTAAGATTTGGTGAAAAGAGAGTAATCAACCTTTGATTGTTGGTAACCAACCTGCTAACTGGTATTTGAAAATATGGAAAACCAATTTCTTGATGCTTGTTTAAGTCCATAAAGTGATTTGTTAAGCTGACATATAATGTTCTTCTCCTGTTGGCAAAGATCAAGTGGAGGCTCCATGTATCATCTCCTTTAAGTCACCATGAAGAAAAGTATTCTGTACGTCTAATTGGTGGATTAACCAATTGCAAGTAGCAATAACTGTTAGAAGATAATGAAGTGTAGTGAGTTTGGTAGTAAGAAAAAATGTTTCTTGATAATCAATGCCTTTAACTTGGGGTGTATCCCTTAGCAACAAGACGTGCCTTGTAACGTTCAATTGTGTCATCAAATTTATATTTTGTTTTGTAAACCCATTAACAACCTATAGGTTTGTGACCAATAGGGAGAGAAACCAAACTCCATGTATTATTTTGTTGTAATGCTTCTAATTTTATTTTTATTGCTTCATGCTAATATGGATCAAGGATAGCTTGATCTTATGAGTTAGGTTCTTTATGGCTTGTGATCTAGAAAAGCACAATGGACATATGAAAGACTAGAGTATGAAAAGTAGTGAGGAAAAGGATATTGTGCACCTGATGCAAAACTTGTCTTTAAGTTAGATGTATTGACTTGTGCAGACAATATGTAGTCTTTATGCCATGTTGGAGGTTCCTTATCATGAAGAGATCATTTTATTTGGGGGAGTGGAAGATGTTGGAGGATGAAGGCTCAAAATATATGGTAGGTTCTCGAGAAGTGGGCTCTTGGATGTTAGGTGATTGATTTGGTTGAGATTGATTGGATGAAATTGTAGTAGTGGCATAGCTTTTGGTAATGTCAAAAGAAGGATAAGGTAGCATAGAGATAGGAGTTTGAATATTTGAAATTAAAGGAAAATTGTCTTTACAAAATTTTACATCACGACTGATGAAAATTTTTGTAGTTTCAAGATCATATACTTTGTAATATTTTTTGCTAGTAGGGTATCTAATAAAAATGCAATGTTTAGCACCAGAATCAAATTCATGAGTAGGATGAACAACTGTTACATAACATAGACAACTGAAAGCTTTTAAATGATTAAGAGATGGTTGACGATTGTATAGTAATTTAAAGGGTGACTTATTAGATAATAACGGTGATGGCAAGTGATTTTTGAGGTAAATAACAGTTAACACACACTTACTCCAAAAAGTAAGAGATAGATGAGATTGAAAAAAGTAATGCATGTGCCACATTTAAAATATGGCAATGTTTGCATTCTATAACACCATTTTGCTGCATGATGTAAACACATGTGCGCTGGTACTCAATTTTAAGTTTGAAAATAATTTCTCATAGACATAAACTCTAAACCATTGGCCATCCTAATAGCTTTGACATATGCTTGAAACTAATTATAAGCAAAATTAATGAAAGATTATAGGATTTTTTGAATTTCATATTTGTTTTGCATAAGAAATATCCACGTGCATATTGTAAAGTCATCCATGACAATAAGAAATAAATGTTCCTGTGAATGTGCAAAAACTTTATGAGGGCTCCAAATATCATAATGTAACAAGTCAAAAGGAGCATGAGTTGATATTGAACTTACAAGAAAAGGAAGTCTAGTTTGTTTAGCCATAGGACAAATATTACAATTATTGTTAAAAGAAGTATTATTATTAGAAGGCAACAATAGAGAAATTAATTTAAGAAAAGGTAGTGATAGGTGTCCGAGACATATATGCCCTAAATTTGAGAATTGAGAAACTTGATAAGAGACATGTATCTTTTATAAAGGAGACATGTAATAGAGACTATCATATTGCTTACCTAAACCAATCATCTTCCTCATAGCCAAGTCTGCAAGACACATAAGGTAGCAAATAAAATGGCACAACAATTTAGAGTTGTTGGTTTTATGGTAAAAAAGTAAAATAAAATAAAGAAAAGGAAATGGACAGAATTGTGAAAAGAATGAATGGAGAAAAAACTCAACTTTTATTCAATAGCAACAGGAGAAAGTGAGAGTTCTCTAGACCAAATCTTGCTAAGAAAAAATTATTAGAAACTTGTGTAAAAATTTATGTCTAGTGTTCTTGCTCGGGCGAGAATGACTCGTTAAGATGAGAGTCTGCCCACGTAATGAAATTCAAAGTTCTAAACTTGCATTACAAGACAAGTAACTTCTTCTCACTATTCTCTCTGATATCTCTCTTCCCTTTTCTAGATAAAACTCCCTTAAACTTTGAACTAGCCCAACATCTATTCTACTTGATTCCAAGTAAATTCTTTGAAACTCAATCTTCTAATCTTACTTCTATTTCTCTATTTTCTTCCTTCTCAAAAGTGTTCCATTTTGAAAGATATAGGAAGAACTTGATCTTTTGACGATATCTTCCATGAATCTTTTTACAAATCATCTTATCGAGGTAAGGATAGCTTTATCCCATTGTTAAAACGTTGAATATAGTTTGTGCTTATGAATATGTGATATATTGCATTTATTTATTTCATGAATATTTGTTTAAATTAGAATTTTGATATTAGTTAAATTTGGTGATGCATGTTTGGTTGATATTGAATGACTAAACTGTATTTGTTTAAAATATATGACTTGGACTAAGTTCTGATGTTTGTGACCTTAGGCACGATTTATTTAACCGAATGATAAAAATTGAATGGAGAAAAATGTATTATCAGTAACAAGTGATGAAAGGAATTAATATGAATGATTACAGAGATACATTGGCGTATAGAATTCAGAAATGATTTTGAAAATCTAGGGTAAATGAGGGTGGTGAATGTTATTCATAGTGATTATGCATAAATTGATGAAAGCATAAGCATCACAGTCCTTATACTTGTTTCCTAACTAGACTCTTAACTATACCTTTGTTAAGGGCCCGTTATTGTGTACGTTGTATTTGTACACATGGACTAACTGACAATCATTTACCTATATGTGTAATACCTCATGAAATGTTGGAGACAACGATTGATTGTGATCACGTTGCACGAGGGTGTGCGTATAGGATAGATTGACAGATTGCATTGCATGATTGATGCATGAGTTATGATATTATTGATGTGTATTGTATTGAGTTTGATAATGTGAAAATTCATATTTGTATTTTGATTATGATTTAGTGGTGAGTAGAGAATTCATCCCCACTAATATTTTCAGGAAATAAGGATGACTACTTCATAGAGACCCATTAGATTGATAGAGTGGACTGTAAAGAGTAGGCTAAATTATATATTTAGGGAATGACAATGAGTTTTTCACTATAAATTTGTGATAGATAATGAAAATGGATTTGGAGACATTTTTACTTTAGAGATTACAATAGAATATATTGTCTCTTTTTCATACTCTATTAGTGGTAGGATCCACCACACCCTTAGTCTATATATATAGAGAGGAACAGTCCAGACACCAGATGCTGTGAATTATGTGTACACCTTCCACAACCACGATCATAAGAGAATGTTAGTTACTTTTACCTGAGAACATATTATTGGCACAAAAGTCATTGCAGATGCTGGAGATTTCTGTGATGAAGACCCAACACCGGAAGAGGTAGAAGAGATAGATGGCCAGTTTGAGGATGATGTCTAGGACTACATCTCCAGGTTGTTGTGTGGAAAAAGAGGACTCATTAGGACTTAGATTATTTTGATTTCATAATTACGTAAATGAAGTCTTAATTTATTTATTTTTATCTATAAATATTAAACTTTTGTATCTAAATAAAAGTCAATATATGTATATTTTCTTACTGAGCAAATGTAAATTTGTTTAACAAGTTATAATGAAAAGTAAATATTTATCTCACCTCACTATGAATATCTTTGTATTTTTACAATTTGATAAATAAAGTGAAAGTTTAAATTTTTTTAAAGTTTTCAAGTTATAAGTGTAAAGAAATTCATTTATTTGTCATTTCTTTGTTATAAATGATTACACAAATCAAATGATAAATTAATGGCGTCACAAATGTACCAATGATAAAGAAGAAGAAAATTCTTTACTTTAGATACGACTTAAGGACATGGTTGATATTTCAAATATTGGGATATGGATGATGGAAGAGAAAACAAGAATTATGATAAGATTATAATAATGTAGATAAGTGGTAATATTGGAGATGAAAATGTTGAAGGTGATGCTCATATAAAAACGAATTAAGACATGAAACTAGATATGAACAAATATGAAGCAAAATATGAGGCTTATTTGAAAAATCTGAAATACTCTCTTAAAGATGATACAAAAATGTCACTTGACATTAATATGAAAATGTCACTACAACAACATAGACAAAATAAAAAATAATTTTTTTGCATAAAGATTGATATACAATATTTTTAACCTATAGGGATGAAATTACAAAATAATCTTATAAAAAGGATTAAAAGATAATTTAAATATGACAAGTTGAATTACAATTTGTCAAGAAAATAATTGATGTTATTATAACATATTGTTATAGTAAAGATGAAATTAAAAAAAAATTTATATAAAGATTGATATATAATATTTTTAATCTATAGAAATTAAATTATAAAAATGAATCTTGCTTAAGGATTACAAGTTTATTTGTTTCAATAGTCATTTACTATTTATTAGAAAGGAAATTTTTTTATTAAAGTAAAATTGTCACTAAAATAAAATATCAAGATGTTAACTTTTACATTATAAATTTAAATTTTTTTTTTGGGAATTGAGGACAATTTGCATTAGACCCTTCTTTTAATAATGCGAGTTTATCATTATTTAATAATTTTTATTTTTAAAATGTTAATTTATTAATTATTTAAAACAATATCTAATTTTTTAAAAATAAAAATTTCCTTTTATATTATAATTTAAAATTGAAATTTTATTTAGTTTCTATTTTTTGTCTCATTAATTATTTATACTCAAAAACTGATATTTTAATTTTTAAAAATTTCTATTTTCCTCTTAAATGGAGATGAAAATTACAGTTGGACTCAATGACTAGTTAAAAAAATAATAGACGAGAATTATCCGCTAAATAGAGTTGGAGCCGTGTAATAGTATTTACTAGCAAAATTACTAGTAATTTATTCCGAATCCAATTCTATTTTCCTATCTACCTAAAATTTTGAAACCACATTATTTTTAATCATTATTTGAACAATTAAAAATTAACACTATATATAATATTATATATTATTATTTTTAATCTTAATTTACTTTTTATCCTTTTTTATATACATGCACCAGGGTATAAACATTTTGCATTTTATAACAGGCTGTGAGACTTATGCCGTTAGGTGTACTGCGTCATCGCAGCAGTTAATATATCGAAGTGGGTCATGCACGTACTTTCTTGTATGGGAATGGGAAGTAGCTTCCATATTTTGACTCTTGCGCTTATTTGACTAATTTTTCATGACGTATATGAAGTCGTATATGTTAGATTCCTGACCCGACCCCACAAATTCACTTGCAACACTCCAAAATCGACTTCAATTATACTTTATCGTGTCTTGCATAATTTTACACAGCTGGTTGCTATGATTTTTCAGGCACCAGAATTTATTAGGATAGTTTGCTTGGGTATGTATAATTTTCCGAGTAACAACAATTTAAATGGTTGGACCACAAATAGCACAAATGGAGATAGGAAAATGCAATTAATCTTGGATTCTAGTGAGAAAATACTAGTAACATTCTTTTATTATATTCCCATAGTATGAAATAGAACAAAGTTTCAACAAACTTGGGGAAGTTATAACGGGTCTTGTAAGAAAAACTGGTAGAAATAACTCGAAATCATTGGTGAATTTTGACTATGAGCAACAACAGAATTAAGAATTCATACACTGTGAACGGTACAACCACGTAACTAGTTCCTTGAGCTCTTCTTACTCTTTCTAATCTTTAGAAAGGTATCAAGTAGCATGGGTATGCAAACAACTCGAGACATATCCACTCCTTGTACTTTAGAGGCATTAGAAGTAGAACCTTTTGTTAATTTCTTCTCCCTCTCTTCAAACTTTAATGAGTTTGGGAAGTACAAGCGTCCTCTGTCACCTGCTCTAATTCCAATTAGCTGCGCAAGCGATACACTGTTGTCTTGGAAGAATGATGCCGTCGACTGGTTGTTGCAACAGAAGAGGGCAGTAGAATAAACTGTAAGCATATGTGAAGTTTACAAGCTTCTAATTTTTATTGGTTCATAAAAAGAGTAACTTTCATGGTCTATGATGTGATCTATTTTATATACATTTTCAAGAAGTTTTAAGCCATTATTATAGTAAGATGTTAGAAATTTTTTTCCATGTTTTTGGATTATATACTCTTTCCATTAATATTATGACATCTGCACGACTGATTTTTTTTCCTTCTTTAAATATCTTTTAAAGAGGAAAGTAAGAGAAAAATGTCTAATTAAGAATACTAGCTGCTGAAGGAATAATAACCATAAGAATACAGAAAATTTGTTTAGTAATGCTGATGGCAAGAGCAACAATTGAGTTTCACAGGATTCCTTTCCACTACTAAAAGGGATGCTATTATGTCCTAGAAATTAAGATGTTAATAGTTTCATTTGTACACACATACCTAGGACAGTTGGACATGAAATACAAAGCCTATGATGTTAGCAAATAATATTCTTTTTTGTTCCTAAGTGATATTCATTCAATGGCAATGAGGAGTAAAGCATAATATCAGACCAACAGTGAGAAAGGAAAAAGAAAAGGAACACCTCAGTATCAAGGTTAGAGGATGAAAATGAAGAGAAACTGGTGGATGGCACGTCCAATTGGTATGGTACCACTGAAGCTCCTGGAAGGGAATCCACAATCCTAAGTCTCATACTCAAGAAGCCAAGCCCAAGTGGCCATCCAATTGGCATGTCATCATTCTGAGAAGAGATAACAGTAGCAACACTGAATACTTTCATCTTGTTTGAATAAGTGCGAATGAAAAGTTGCATAATAATTTCAACAGACATATATGCATGTCCAAAAAACACCAATGCCTTAATTACAAGATTATTCAAAAGAACAAGGTGAAATTTAAAAGTTATGATGAATAAAATGTGATACCTCCTCTTTTGCAACATTCAAAATCACGCAATGAATATTATAAATACAAATAACACCTATTAAGTTATACACTTTTTTCATCATACCGAATTATTTCAATTCCAGAATATGGATCAAACTGATCTTAGTAAAGATAATGGCTATCGCATTCTCCTCATTGAAAGAAAGAATAACAAAACGGGTAGGGCATCTGAACAAAAACATTCAAAAAGTCAAAAGAGATCCTCTTTACAAACACGATTTGGGTGAGAATGGGCTTTTTTCTAATTATGAAAAGGAAAAAAGATTGATGTTAATTGACCTAAAAAAACAATATCGGGAAAGAAAAAAGCTGTACTGAATTGGAGAAGTTATAGTGATGAAAGCAGTGCAGTATGGAAGGTACCATTGCTGCCACTGTTCAGTAAGTGTTGTGTGTCAAGCGAAGCTGTCTCACATTCTAACACTGTTGAAATTCTATTACTATCCTCCTTTAGGTAGAAGTAACTATTCTTTGCTCTAAGAATCTAGCTCAGCTAATAAGGATGATACAACTCTTCCCTTTTATGGATGTGAGGAAAGAAGCGATTTTCAAACCGTGTTGTCCTAAAATTAATTTCCAAAACCCTGAAGACTTTTTTAATAAAGTATATCCATCAAAAGAACTAAATACTGGGGGGCAAGTCGGCAAGATATTTGTTTCTAGATTCCAAGATTCAGGGAACTCGTTCTGAATAGCTGGAATCTACTTTTAGTTTCCATCTCAGTAAATTGCGTCACAAATTAATCCTAGTTCCTATACTCATTTAAAGAATCTTCACAACAAAACCTTCAAATGTTTTTTACAAGGCTAATCGTTTGTACAGCCAATTTAAGTGTTTGTTTCTCCCAGTTACACTAGTTTTTCCACCAGCATTTTACCTAAATGAGGTTTCTAAAAGAAAATTATCTTGAAATTATTAAGGAAAATAAGGGAGGGAAGAAGTGATGGAGATTAGACTGTCGGTATAGTTAGCAAATGATTGGTGTTCAGCAGAAGTTTAAACATGCAATCTTATGATTCAGTGGTTTGTATGAACTCATTTCTCCAGATATTTCAGATATATTTCTCACTCCTGCTGTACATTAACTATTTCTTAATTTGTTCCCTCCTGCTTTTAGATCTGCCCCACTTCATGTGCAACTCACTTAGACTTATTACTTAACATCATCAATATTCAATATAAAGTATAAAGAATAGTAAGTCAAAATGAGATGGATGCTAGTACATATAATTGTTCCACTGAGACTGCTACTACACCATCTACATATGGCACGGTATGCTCAAAACGAACACTTTGATCTTTCGCTTTCCTGGCTATAACTTTTTAGCTACTAAAATTATCAATTAATTAACATCCTGAGAGGGGACCGGTAAATTTTACCATGTTTTCTGTACATTAAAAGGGACATGTTGATATAATTACGACTGATGTATCAGTTCAAGTTACATTCTTACAATTAAGTTCGGAGAACAAACTTTGGTGGTTTTAATGAAAGGTTAAATCGTGTGACTACCGGTGCAGCAACCACTAACTTTATGGTCCTAACTAAAGACACTTATGGGATCTTTTCTTTGTGTCAGTCCATCTGGAAAATTCAAATTCTATACACATCGATAGACAAGGTTATCTTTACTTCATACCAGTCCATTTGGAAAATACAAATTCTACATACATATATGACATGCAAGATTACTTACACAAAACTATTCCCTAAGCATGACAAATCCTAGAAACAATAACTAACATAATAGCAAGAATTCAACTCACATTTCATAAAATCTGACATTCAAGAATGCCAATAATTTAACAAGATAGAACAACCTAAAATCTGTGCCTTATGAACTAATTCTTATTTAATGCAGGAAATCAACTGGGGAAAGAACATTGCATAAGGCTTATAACATAAGGACTCACAGTGAGCAAAACAAGAGGCACAAAAAAGATTCAGTTTCAATTCCATTGATTTCAGTTTAAACACTAAACAGTCCAAACATACTGACATTCATGGATCAATCGCATTGAACAGACCCCAAAAAATGTCTTGATCTTTCATTGACAAAACAGTGAAACAACTGATAAACCAGCTGGAAAAGGTAGTAGATGGGGACAAGAGGTGCTGAATACCATAGAAAAAATGGAGAAAGAAGGCGCAATGTGAGAGTATCTTTGTTCTTATGTATGCAAAAAATACAAGCAAAGCATGAAATTATTACCTCTGCAACCATGGCTTCTCTGCCCTCCCCTGAGAAGTTGATGGGAAAATGATGATCACAGAGAAAACACAGCAAAATAAAAGTAAAAAAAAAAATGTTTTGGGGGAAACCAATGGTGAATTTACGTGTCTCCTAACTAGAATTCTTCCTTAAACATCAGACATTTAAGAGTCTGGTCCCACTTGACCTGCTGAACTTTACTTGAGCTAAACATTTTTTTTACCCCAAGAATCCAAATTTTGATAAGTAAAATCAAAGCAAAGAATTGAAGGAAAATAATGCCCCAAAATAAACATTAGAGAAGAAGATACAATAATAACAAAAAGAGTAACATATAATTAGAATAATGACTTTATCTTTAATTTAGCGCCATATTTTAAATTTCTTAGGCAAGAGCACTTCAAAAACTATCAGTGAAGAACAAAAGTAAAGGGCTTTATTAATTGATACGTGATAGAAGAGACGTGTTGTTATTCTTTAGAGGGGCATTTAGCTTTTGAATTTGGTGGAGAAGTAGATATCAAAACGGTTGGGAAGATTATATGATCTATGCGTTGTTTGGCTTAATTAGTAATTAGTAAAAGTGATGGATTTATTAAGAAGTTTCTGTCGCCATTGATTGGTGAAGAAGCACCCAAGTCACAGGTCAACAACGTCGAACAAGTTACTTCAATGTTGTAATCAGTGGTTGCTTATGGCAACACGCAAGTAAAGTTTATGTTCAATATTACACGGAAGTGAAATTTGTTTACTATAATGTTTCTACCTGTTGTTCTTTGCATTTTAAGTTTCTATAAAATTTAAAGCAAGACAAGCACCGTTTACAGAAACTATAAATGTCTCTGCTACGCTTTGTTTATAATAACATCAAGCGTTAAGTTTCTTCAATCTTCATATTTGTTTATTTTGCTACACCTAGGTGAAAAAAAACACACCAAGTTTTAAGTTTTATCAAAAAGTAGTTATAAAAAAATTATCAAACTACTTAATCCAAAATAGAGGTTGGTATTAGCCTGGAAATCTTGCTTCTCACCGCTCTAGTTATTTCGTCATTTGAATAAATAATAGGACAGATTAGTCCTTTTAATTATTGTTATTTTAGATGATCTACTTCTTGTTCTTTTCTTAATTTATAAATCATGGACAAATTAATAATACCAACCCTATCCTTTGTACCGAAAAATTAACACCATATTCGTTATCTGGTGACCAAATCATGACCGTGGAAATGGACATGGCTACAATAAAAAATTTTATTGGTGAGGTGAATGATTATGTATATGCCTTATCTCCCTTCAAATTATTTTTAGCATTAATAAAATTATGTTAAAAGAGGATAACAAAATATATTTGAATGGTCAGAGTTCTCTTGTAAGCTTCTACATCACTATATCTTCGTTTTAATTTTTATTTTTTTATAGTGTTTCTACTTTGTACACTGTTCGAGATTAATTTTTGTACAGGAATTGTCCCTTGTCTTTTCTGACGAGGACATTTGAATCATGGACATTCTCATATTTCCTCACTTCCTGTTCTTTTACTTAAATCAAAATCACATCACAAGTCAATTTAGAAAAGAAAAACATAGTGTTTATAAAATATAATTGATATTAATTTAGTTCTTAAAGTAAGAGGAATACCTAGGACTTTTCATATTAGTTTATTTTCTTAAAATAATTATTTATTTGTGTAAATTTTTTAAAGATAGTTTAAAAAATAAACAATTATTATTAAGCATACACTTACTCTATCTATTTTTAAGCTTTTATTTCAAAATTCTAAAAAATATTAAGTAATGTGAATCATAACAAAATAATATCAATTATGATGAAAATAAATTTAAATGATAGAATAGTTTCAATGTTTAAATTATCACTATATAGATCTTCTATGTCATTTATTAATTTTACAGGTATAATATGTAAATTTAAATAATTAAAATATTTATTATTTTTTTAAATGTAAATAAAAATAAAAGAATTTCTATTGAAAAAACAAAAGAAAAAAAGAAATAATAGAATAATAATAAATAGGAACCTGACAGGAGTGAGGTGATGTCGGTACTTGTATGCCGTCTAATAAACGTTGGACTAAGATGATAACTTTACTTTTTTTTTATTTGTCACGATTATTGCTACGTGGCTCATGAGTGTCCTCCCTACTTCTCACTGCTATTCTTATACGATAATTTTTTTTGTTTAATTTCTATCTTCGGCATTTTTATCAAGAATTATAGTATATGTATTTTTTAAAATAAAAATTGATTTATTTAAGTAAAAATTCTTTATATTTGCTTAAGTAGTTCACGCTTGATGATGTGTAAAACGTGTCTAAATGAGAAGTAACTTTAAATATATTTTGTTTAAACAATTTTTTTAAGTTAATTTCATTTCGTTTAAGCCCTTTCAAGTAAAAATAATTAAACTTAAGTGAAAATAAGATAGAGAGTCATATATTCTGTCCTACATCTTGCTTAAGCAACTCATGAATTACTTAAGCGAATCATTTTTCGCTTAAGCTATTATAAGCCATTTTTATTATTCTTAAAAAAATTTAGAACAAAGAGCATTGGTTTTAGATATTGACATTTGCTTAAGTGAGTCGTTCGTTTAAGCGAAATTAGTGTTCACTTAAACTATCTTAAAAATAATCCAACGAAACAAGATTTGTTTAAGCGAATATAACAGAAAATCTGATCATTATGCAAATACAAGCAGTATGCAAGGTGGGCCAAATACACTTGACTACATAATTTTTTCAACTTACATCTTATACAAAAAAAGAGTTAATAAATACATATTTAGCTTCGAAGCAAAAGAAGTTCTGACAGTTACGTAATCAAATTTGATTAAGGATTGAAGCATTAGTATCATCAAGTTGTCCCTACAAAATAAGAAAAGATATAAGAAGAGACATTACGAACAAGAATGGATGAAAAGAAAAAAAAAGGCAATTGATTTGATGTAAAGTTAAGTTGAATAATCTTATGGTCAACAAATTCGTGAAACTTAATTGATTGATAATGTGTGAGGGGAATCATGAAGGTGCCAAACAATGTACTTTAAACAAATCATAGAATATTAGTTGATATTCCTAAAACATGTAATTATAGTGAAATATGATATGGTTATAATAAGGAAGTTAAAATGCATGTATTAATTGATATTACAAGTCATTATAAAAAAGTATCTAAAGTATTGATTGACCTAAAGTTGGAGTTTTGTTCTTCCTTTTTTTTTTTGGCTTGTAGTTTAACATAACCTTTGAATCTTTTACACCATTTCCTCTTGATGGTTAGTCATTGCTTGAATTCCTTAGGTTGTATACCATGATTATTGATCATAATTATACCATTATCCCTATTCTTGTCATTTCTTATGTTTGTAAGCAAAGTTTTGCAATTTGATTAATTAAAGTATTAATATTGTCATCAACTAATTGACAATATTTTTTTGAACTAGATACATCAGAGACCAACCTAATCATTTTACATACTAGGTGTCAGTATTTGCATGTAGTACTAAGTTTATAATCTCCTTCCACCTTTTCCGTTTACATTATAAATAATTCAACAACGGCCTTGTGTTGTCCACCTCTTAAATATGTATTTCTCAAGCATAACCTTTATATCATTGGCTTTAAACACTTTCAAAGCATAACAACAAAGTATGTCAAATGTTTCAAACTTTTTACAAGATCAATATATAGTAGTTGAGGAATGATTGAATGTAACTATCCATTATCTTTGTTTATTGACGTTAGTAATGACATATTCAATCAAATGAGATGTTTCAATCCTCTGTGATATGTAACAAGCTAGAATTGAGTAAACTCTCGTTGAAATAAATTAAACAATATATGTGTGTAAACTTTATCTATTTGTATTAGTATTTGTGACACCTCATATCGCAACATAGTTAGCTTATGGCAAGAGTCATACTCACACTTTAGCTCGTTGTAATGCTTGTTTTCAACAACCCATTCAAAATGTCCAAAGAATTGCTTGGTGTCAACACCAAGCTTCATACATGTCTTGAAATCAGAATTTAAGCTTTTACTTAGTTGAATACTTCGCATTTCAAGGGTTAAACAATCTTTAAGATAACATGATGTCCACTTTTCCTTTATGGAATAAAGTGAAATAATCCAAGTATGTTCTTCGACATTGCATTTTGTAATCAACATTGTCCAAGCATCCTTAAAGTCAATTAAAGTATTAAAATCATATATGTATCTTTTCAAATCTCTTGAAAAATGACTTTCTCCTTTCGTCAAATTGCCAATGTGTTTTATTCTATTTTGCATTAAGTGCTAAGTGCATAATGCATGATATGTCTCAAGCATTACTTGGACAAGTGCCTTGGCCATTGCTTGATCTCGATCTGTAAAAATCATTTGAGTTTTTTTTTTCATTGTATGTTTCTAAGAAAGTCTCAAACAATCGTTGAAATGATTCAACTATTTTATCATACAATAAAACTACTCCAAAGATAACAAAATCTCTATAATGGTTAAAACCTGAAAATAATGCTAAAGGTCTATTAGCTCGATTGGTGTGATATGTAGTGTCTAGTGATACAACTTCACCAAAAATTTGTAATCAATTACCATCTTTGCATTCACTTAAAGAACATTTATGATTTGTTCCTTAGTATTCGTTTAATATGAATGAAAAAAATGTTGAATTTTCTATTGTTGAAAGTATTGCATTAGACAACCAATTTTTCCGTATACCATCTCTCTTTATCTCGTTGCCTTCAAATAAGTTTTTGTGTCCATGCGAGTATACTAAACATTAACTTGGTGTCCTACAAGTGTGCTCATGAGTTGAAATGATGCCTTTTGTCGCAATCTTGAAGCCTTAGCTAAATCAGTTTCATGACCTTGAACTTTAGTTATGTTATGATGCAAAATAAGTATGTATGTTGTTTCTTGAAGTTGTAATGGATGATTATGCCTTCAACAAACTGATGAATGACATATTTATTGTTATTTGTCAAAGACAATGCTATTCTTAAAAGACATTCAGTTATAGTTTTTGGTTAGTGCTTTGTGACATATAGATTCCTTTTATCTTCTTTTTAA